ATAACTTCCACTGTGAACAATTTAATCTTTTTCAAGTATGAAAAGCAAATTGCTTCCTTAATTCTAGTTTTAGAACTTTTTTCCTGTTTAATTTCATTTTGTTTATTAAGAGTGTTTAGTTTTTTTTTTTTTTTTTACTACTTTTAAGCATTTGTATTTAGTTTTTGGGTTTTTTTTTTTTTTTTTTTTTTTTTTTTTTTCCTATTTTGTTTGCTTTGAGTACGAATGCATATAGGGAAAAGATTTGACCATCTGAGGCTCATTAGAAATTTCTTTTGAAATTATGGTTTAGTAATGAAAAGCGGTTTTAAGTCTCAAATGGTTCTCGAAACATGTATTCGTAACTCATTAATCAACTGTGTTTATGGCTTCAGAACTTTTTTACCTTGACAAGTTCTGCTTGAAGATTAAGTTTCTATTATTAAAAATATTCTTATGAAAATACATGTGAGTGTTATTGTTATTACTTTTTATTGCGTCGTTTATTTTTATTTTCGCGCTTCACAAACTGGCCAGATATCTCGACTGAATAGGGATTCAATCTTGCGTGCCGCTATAATAAGGAAATGCCGAAATAAATATCGGAATGAAAGAAAGATACGGGATGATCTTGAGCAAACACATGAAGAGAGAGAGGGAACTTAATGATAAAAGAGTTTAATTGAAAAATGAGTTTTTTCTTCCTTTCGTAAGCTTTGAACAGTAGAAAAACAAATGTCTGACATTTTGAACTCCCCGAAGCTGCAGGAACGGTCTGCTTTAGATTGCGCAAATCTCTTCAGATATGAGTTTAAACTACTGTGCCCAGTTAGGAATTTAGTAATTTCAAAAATGCGAAAAAATATTGCAGTTAATTGGATGACTACTTCTTTTAATCAAACAAATTTATTCAAGCATATGGAACATCAACTCTTTCAAGACTGACTTTTGTTTTCATATAAGAAAAAAGATTACCAAACGTAGAAAATAAACTTATAAGTGTCATACACATGTAAAAAAGCAACTATGGGCACAACATAAAATATCGGCTATCGAGAGAAGGCCAAAGCTGGAATATCATTTTTAAATACAGTGGAATCTCAAGGTAAGAGCACCTCTATATGACAGAAATTCGAAATAAGAGAAAAGTATGAGCTAAAAATCCATCTTTAAAATACGAGCATTGGCTCGACTAACGAGCAACGAGCCAGGGTGTTGGTATGCGTAGCGCGTTTCCCGATACAAAACATACCATTCTAAATTGTTTTAGAAATTTTGGAAAAATATGAACTGTCTTTAAATATTAAATTCTAAAGCATGAAAGCAAAATTATGTAGCTTCTGGACAGCTTTATACTCAAAAGTATTTGCAATGTTATACGGTTAGAAAATGACCATATGATCACTTTTGCATCTGTAATACGTTCTGTATTTTCTGTACATTCTAATTTATACAGATGTGTAATAAACATAAATGGATTACAGTTATATAATCTTAATAGGGTGAGATACAACCTCAGTAAGATGAGCAAATTTCAAATGATTATATTGGAAATTTTCAATTATTTAAAAATTTCGAATATTACGGAAGTATTTTAATACCTTGAAAAGTATAATACCTTACTGGATCATTAAAACATCGTTGTAATTTCCTGTTCTCTAAAATAGGAGTTCATCACTCTAAGCATTTAGAAAGTAATCCAGTGTTGCGTGACATCCATTTATATTATTTACTGACAATATATTCATGGCACTTTATTATGCTGCATTCATGTCACTCTATGGTGTTATATTAAAGTCGAAATGAGTCATTACATGAATGTCGCAGTGTGCCTTCACAACAATATCACAGCGTAATTTCACAACAACGTTGCAGCGCGACGCATCAATGTCACAGTGTGACTTCACAGCAATGTCATAATGTAACTTCACATCAAATTCCAATGTGACGTCACAAAAAGTGGACATTAAGCCATTTTTACAACGTTACTGCGACATTGAGGTCGTCACAATGCGACAAGTTTGCAATGTTACAGCGACGTGCCGTGCTGTTGGGGAGGGAAAGAATTATAAAAATAGATATCTTGTAATCGCCACTCCAGGGTATGTAACACCCAGCGCGAGTATTACTGTTACAATTCTGAGTACTAGTAGACGCATTAAAATCGTACTTTCATCGTGACGCGTTTTCGAAGTTATGATGAAGAAATGAGACATTTAAGAAATTTACTTGATACTGTTTCTTCGGGTGAAGAAAGTCTTGAAAAAGATAATGAGTTTTCCGATTGTGAAAAGGCGGATGATGAAGCAATGTACAGTGAACACGAATCTTCGCCTGAAATAATAGAGGGACAGGAAAGTAAAGTCGCTTTCTTACATTAAATTCAAACGAATAAATTTGTAACAAGTTTTTATTTTTAATCAATAATATAATTACCCTCGTTATCAGCAACCTTTTGCCATCTAGTATGGCGATTTCAATCCCAGACCGATAAAAAATCAATTGGTTTTTGAGTAAAATATCTCGAGATGGCATTTTCGACATCATCCAAATTTTCAAATTTTTTGTCACTAAGAAAATGTTGTAGGGATCGGAATAAATGGAAATCCGAGGGCGCGATAACGGGCGAATACGGTGGGTGAGGTAGTACCTCATACCCCAATTCATTATATTTTTGCAATGTTGGTCTTGCACAGTGCGGTTTTGCATTGTCGTGTTGCAGAATGACGCCTTTTCCGTTGACAATCGCCAGATATTTTTCGATCAAAGATTGGTTCACTAGATCCAATTATTCACAATAAAGGTCTACATTAACAGTTTTTCCAATAACAGGTTTCAGCAATTCAAAATGAACAATTCCCCGAATACTCCATCAAACACCCAGAAGCGCCTTTTCGGGATGTAAATCCTTTGTAAGCCCTATTAAAACTGCCTTTTGAGTTTTGGATTATCATATAGGACTTACTTTGTTGTCTCCACTAATCAAACGATCAAAAAACGGTTCTGTATGGTGCCGTTGAAGCAATACTTTGCATGTGATGGATAGGTTGGCTTTGTTCTTTTCGGACAGATTAAGGGGGACTCATGCACCTGCTTTGCTTATTTTTCCATTCTGTTTTAAATGTTCTTGGATGGTCAACTAAGGTTGGTTAAGAGTATTTGACATGGATTTGCTTTCACTTCTGCCCTTAGCATGTTGTTGTCAACGGCTAAAAAACAAGTCGTTGGCGTACGGCTATTTTTAATTCCATGTTGAATGTTGTTGCAATGAATAATTGAATGTTGTTGCACGCATAATTTTGTTTTCAACAAAGAACTGGGCATCGGGCCCGACGCCCATTTCTAAAAACACTAGCATTTCAAGTGATAGAAGATTATAGGAAGATAAGAAGTCAACAGGCAATGCTCCTACAAAGCCTAAAAGAAAAACTGGGCAACAATGAAGGCGATACACCTCCTGCTAAGAAGGTAAAGACGACATATAAAAGATGTGGTGAATGCGGGGCCAAAAAAGACAGAAAAGTTTAGTTTGTCTGTGAAAAATATGAAAAACATGTACACACGGAACATATAGCATGCATTTGTCGAAAATGTGCAAATTAAAGGTAACATTTTTAATATATTTTTAAAACTATGTTTTCTCTTCCATGTTTTGTTCTTTTATATTTTATGCAGATTTAATGGTAAAAGAAAGGAGGAAATGTCATACCCAGGGCGGTTTCTTCCTTTCTTTTACCTGCACAAAATAACTCGAGCAATCCCGTTCCAAAATCCAAAATAACTCGAGCAATCCCGTTCGTTTTTCTCGCGCGAGTAATGCCAGAACTTCATAAGGAGCAGCAGCAAGAAGTGGTAGAAGAGCTTTCGTTAGGGCAGGGGGGAACAGGAAAAGAGACCCTCGTTTCCAGTAAGATTAAAAAAGTATTGGCAAAGTGGGAAGAAGCGAAAACTTTCTTTGAAGAAAATCACCCTAATAAATCAGTGTGTGCGCGCACCATGAACTTGTAAATGACAATGTAGTGTCGCATATTACAAATACCTTAAAAAGGAGGCAGAAGAAAGAGTTACTAGATAAGTTTTTGGTAAAGCAATCTGCAACTAAAAGAAAGTGATTCTGACCCTGAACCTGCTTCCAGTGGGATTAAATTCTCAAGAAGAAAGACCCTTTCTGAATCAGAGCATTAACTGGATTTTCATTATTTTCAAAGGGGAAGTTTGATTTAGATACGAGAAATTTGCTATACGAGCTCAATGCTGAAACGTATTAAATTCGTAACTCGAGCGTCCACTGTACAGCTGGTGGGGAATTCTAACACCGCGACGCCCAATTGCCGGGAAACTTTCTCTGTCACGTGGATTCAACAACCCGCAGCTCCAATACTCTCAAAACTAATTTGTGTTTTGGTGAGGAATACGGAGGGAAGAAGTTAAAGTAAAGATCAAAATCATAATAACTAGTTAATTTATACAATTAGGCAAAGCAACAAAGCTGTGTTTAGCTTAGATTTTAACCAAAACTCTGTTGATTTCAAGGGCGGACAGATACAAGTTCCTTTCCATTAGGAGTAAAGAAATTCTTCCTCGTACCAGACTACAGATGGGAGATCATTTAAAAACTGGGACATCCTTGACGCCAAAAAAGGAACAAACAGCTTATTATGGTAAATCAGGCTATTGTTGTCATCCGATAACGTACTTCCTGTAGGAAGAGAGTTCTAAAGCTATGAGTTGTTCCTAGGTTGTGTTATAGCAGTTATATACACATTTGGTGTAACCTCGTAAATATTAAATAATAAATAAATTATTCAAAATAATTTACTTTAAATCTCTTCATCTCCTCTGCAAGGAAAAAAAGAAAGAAAGAAAGAAAGAAAAACGGAACGAACAATGCAAAAATTTTTTAGAAGTTGAATTTTTCAAAGCTGATGCAGCTGCACTATTTCTGAATTAGAATTCCCCCTACGAGGGAAATATTCTGCGCATTAGGGATTTTTCTTATACTTGCCGTTTACAGTCGCAACTTTGCCAGTAGAAGTGTGAACTTTTTGTTTAGGAGCGTGCGAGTATTATTGTTTTTAATACGTTTGTCGTGCTAAATTTTATTTTAAAAAATCTGATTGTTGAATATTGCCACAATGGAGAAATATTATACTTCTGATTTATACTTCATGTGTTCATATAATATTGATTTGTTCCGGTGTTTTGTTGTGATAAATCCAATTCCTGTTATTGGTATGAATTAGATTTTTAATTAAATTATTATGCGGAAAGTTAAATTGAAATAAGTTTTTAAGAAATTAAATTTAAACGTTTTTAGTTCTTGTTTGATTTTAAGAAATTTATTACTGAATGTTTATTCCTCTAGTTAAATGTAAAATAATTAATAGAAACTCTTTTAATATCGTGAATATTTATTTTCTATTCCTAGTTTATTAGTTTGTATTTCTGCATTTCTTCTAATCAATTTGAAATATACATAACAACAATGTTATAAAATGTGAAGAAACTTTTACCAGTTAATTTAATTTGTGCAATAAAATTCCTAGCGGACTAAAATCTTTTAAGTAGGTACATAAAAAATGTGTTACTAATTTTATCTCAATGTACACTTTTTAACTTAAAATATTCTGAACTTGTTTATATTGTTTTACAAATATTCTGAAGTGGTAATACTTTTTTTTATTAATGTATAAATTGTGAACTAAACTTTTTTATTTTAAGCTGAAATTTTGGACAAAATTTTCATTTCAGTATAACATCTAAGTAAAATACTATTTCATTTAGCATGATTTCTGAGGTAACAATGCTTTATTGATTTGGATTGGTTTTTGTTTATCATTGAATGAATTTCATGTAACATGGTCCGAGTAACACCAAGCAGTATCTAAATGCTTTGAGTGGCATGGCTGTTTTTACCTGTTCATGAAATTTATTGTTGTTTTCTATATATTGCCTTGTTATTTAAATTCGAACCCATCCCTTCGGCATGGCAGTCAGTGACGTTAACCACTATACTGGTTGGGCAGCCGTTATGAATATAACAGTAACTAACTAATTAATGCAGAAAAAGCTTCCCAAAATGAAATGAATTCGTGGCAATTTCAGGAAATGTTTTGTATTGTTAAAGCATTAAAATGACTAGTTATTAATTTCAATCCAAAACTTGAAAGATATATGCTGTTTTGCCAAATAATTGACAGTAGAGTATTTGTACCAAAATCATTGAAGGTAAAAGAAAGTAGATCATCCAAAGTACTTTAAATAAAGTTTTATAAAAGAATAAAATATCTTATGTATGCAGTAAAAATATTTACAAATTTACTATATTGCATACTTTATTAACTAGTTTACAAATTGCAGTGAAACCTTTTGTAAGCCAAAATGCTATAAAGCAATTACTATTAATTTATATGGAGGAACATTTAGGTACATTTGAAGATCTTTAAAACATAAAATTCATACCCAGGGCTGGCTGTAAGCGTAGCATCTGCTATATGTGTCAATTTTCAGAGCACCTGAGTCTAGTCATTTTCATAAATGGCTACTATATAAAGGTATTTTTCCTCTGAGTTAATATTTTTAATTTAAATGGTTACTATGCTGATTATTTAAAGTGCCAAAAATGTTGGAGCCAGACCTGATCATACCAACCATGAAAAAGCAGTTTATCTAAACAGTAACCTAAGAAACAGCTTAAGATATCATGATGTGAAGAATACATTGATATCTTATAAATGAAACTATGTTTGAGGAGTTTCCACATCCAGAACTAAAACACAGCTCTTTCTCTCGCTTACTAATTACTGCCTGAACCTGTGAAATTATACCAGCTGGATTTATTTAAAGCATTATATATATATATATATATATTCCTTTTTCATAGCTACAATTTTGGCAGGTGCAGGTTAAAATAAGGCTGTGCATTCCCATATGTATGTTAGGTATCGCCAAGCTTGTTAGCTATTAAAGAAAATTTTAGAAAAAACAAAATAAATTGTGGACGACTAATGCACAATTTATTTTGTTTTTTTCTAAATTTTTTTATTTTTTCTCATCTGCGTAGTATGCAGTCTGCTGCTAGGTAATGGTAAACTGAAATTGGTTGTTTTAATTTCTTTTTCCTACCATTTTACTGCATATTTGAATTTAAAAATAACATTTTAATGGTGCTGTCTAATAAATAAATAACTGTAAAAGTGTTAGATTACATTCTACATTACTACCAAAAATTTTCAAAATATTTATTAATTTCCTGAATTGTACACTGGTTAGCTCAGAAGTGTTTGTGTTTACATTTATATTTCTCGAGACACTATACTCTTGGTGAAGATGTTTTGGAAAATATAAAATTATTCAGTTTTATTTATTTATTTGGTGCTTGCATATTATTCTGTCAACCATGAAAGTTGGCGGAGAACCCACCATTCATGCCTGCGGAATTCTCTAAAAACTGATGACTCTTTATTTGATAAACAGTCATTATTCGACCTTGGGTTTTTTTCAATTTATAAAAGAGCTGTCTTCAGTTTCTATTTTGTTAGGCTGTGTGGGTTTGCCAGAAGCCTTGTTTAGAATGAAACTTCCTGCAGATAATTCTTCCAATCTATTATTATTTTGTAGGCCATATTCAACTGACCATATTGTGTCTATTAATACACACTTTTTATGGTAGGCTCCAATAACTTTGAAAATAATAAACTGCATGCTGTTTCGTAGAAGTAAGATCCCAAAATTTTAATCATTTTTCTTTTTTTCCAAAATCCAAGGGAAAAATACAACAATAATAGTTAATTTATATTCTTATTCGTAAAAATAAAATGTGGCTTATTTAGAATCAGTTTGGGTTACATCAAACAAAAATGGGATGATATGAGTGTGATTTTTAAGTCACAGTTATCGATAATTGGCTTTTGCTGACAGTTTCACTGCTTCTGAGATAATATGTAAGTACCAAAACAAATTTTTTTCTCATTTATGAATATTTTGGAATGGTTGTTTGTACTGTTTTGATGGTGTTTCATATTTTTTTCTTCTGGTTTGCTATACCTGAGTAAGTTTTTTTGGTACTCTTCTTTTATTGGGACCAAATTCAGAAATGTATGGTTGTTATGTGTTCATGTTATGCATGTAGATATGTATGTCTATATCCACACACACCCATATGCACATACATACATACCCACATGCATATCTACATACATTTTTTAATCTGGTCCCTATAATAGAAGAGTAGCATTTTTTCGGTTGCTCTTGGTTTTGTTTTTAATTTTTTCACAAAAATTATTTAAAATTTAAATCAAATTTTTGCTTTTATTATGTTTTAATACTGTTTTAAATAAATTTTGTTTTGATTCCATTTCGCTGTATCTGGATGTTACTTTTGAATTTGCTTTTAATTTTAGTATTAGATTATTACCACTAAATTACATCAGCTTTCAGCACACGATTTAGCTTTCGATTTATTAGAACTTTATTTACTATTCTTACAGTTTATTAGAACATTTATTATTTATGTATATTTTTATTGTTATTATGTAGATTATTATAAATTTAAGAATTCAAATCATTAAGTATAAGTTTCAATCAGTTGTTTTTAATGTTAAATGAAACATCATAATCAACGTATATTTATGTCTTTAAACATTATCAACATATGAAAAGAAAACATACTTTAAATATTTAAAATATGAATTTGAATTATTAAATAAGGATTATATGATATATTAAAAAATAAAATGCATTCTTTAAATCTATATGTAATTTTTTTGTGCTATTCTTCTCTTGAAGCACACAGCAATTTGTTTTTGCATAAACGAAAATCGGAGAATTATAGAGACTCACCTTAATGCAACCCTCGGCAGCAGCAGCTATCTAGAAATACATTTCTTCGTTTTTCTCTTTAGAAAATTTCCGCAAAATTCTATAATATCTGCTACTGTATTCCTAAGTTGAGGCCCGAAGCAAGACCCCTGTGGGCTCATGTCATTAATGTGAAACCCGTGGGTGCTAACTTGTATTGTATCTTGCATGTATGGGTCTGTTGTTAGCTATTTGTGGAATGGATCAATTAGTGTTAATCTGGAATCTATATAGTACAACAGGACACTACAATGAATTGGGAACACCCTGTAATTTGACATATACTGTTCAAATCTTAGATATCTTTGCAATAATGAATAAATTATAATAAATAAACAAAAAACAAAATGTACTGTAACTAATATAAATGTGATTGACAAATAATGCTCCTTGATATCAAATATATTATTGCCTTCTATTTACAGATGATATTAAGTAGTGTGAATTAAATGTCTTTCTCACCGTAACTATAAATAAGTGGAGGTGTTAATTTATATGGTTAATGCAAAATTTTAAAGAGAAGTTACGGTACTTTTCCATTTCGCCGGTGCAAATCTCGCCAAGCAGACTTTATTGGCGACAACACACAGTATACACATAAAAAATGTAGACAAATGTTAGTTCCAAGAAATTTAATTTTAATTTTTTATTTTATTTAATTTTTTTTTAATATCATTTAAAATTTTGTAAAAAAAGACAATATATTTTTAAAAAAACAATTTAAGAATTTACTATGCTTTTATGGTAAAAACATCCTGATTCGCCAATTCATATCACGTGACCCCAAGTGATCTCATCTCATGTAAAGTGCGCTACAAAAATCTAATTCTCTCAATAATTATCTACATTAATTTTAAGTTAAATCTTAATTTGGAATACAAGTTTAAATGCAAGAATTATTTCAATTCTTACGAATAGCTTACTCAGAAATTATATAAAACTGCAGTGCTTTACTTCGCTAGTGCATTCTCATTAGAATTGATGAATTTAACCCTTGACTTTGCCTTTTCTATATTTTCACCATCGAGTGAGTGGTGTGATTGCATATGACTTAATTATTGCCTGTGAATGGCCTTAGGATATAAAATTGAACTATCTGGTAAAAATTCTCTGTAACTGTATACCAGTTTTGAAAGAAACAATCAATCTGATAAGAAGTGGCTGCCACTTGTTTTAAAAATAAGACGTAAAAGGTTACCAGTGAGGATATTCCATTCGGCATCAGTTGTACCATTATTGCTGACTTTATCGCCTGCGCCGTCAAAACAAAAAAGTACCGAAGTTATATTTTCATTAACATTGAATAAAATAATTTTGCTTTTCTTCAGCTTACTTTTAGCTTGAGCTTGATTTTTTAGATGTTAATTTAATGGATCTGAATATTTCAAATTAATATATTTTAATAAAAATATTGCAGATTTTCAATAACAGTGTTAAGATGTGGATACCTGATGATGATCCTGGCTATCAAGATGACTGTTCTAAGGAGCAAGGAAATGAAAAGATCAAGTTCCGTTCCAGTTCCCCACCATTTGAAGGTGGTGAATCTCTTTGTGAATTTTACATAGAAAGGTGTGCGAATATAATATTTATTTTATCTTTTACTGCCATAAACTACTGTATTGCCTAAATATAAGATGTCTTTTGTATTACATGGCTGTGCATTTAAAATGCTTTTCAATGAAACAAATGTTTACTTATGAGACAGCATCATTATGTGAGTTTATTATGGTGAAGGTATTTTTCAAAAATGAGTAGTAATAAAGATGATTTTCAAGGAAACAAATGTTTACTAATGAGATTGCATCATTATATGAGTTTGTTATCTTGAAGGTGTTTTACGAAAACAAGTAGTAATCTAGATAGTGTATCTTGAATTAAAGCTAATACTAAATTTAATTTCTTTTAAGGTCAAAATAATAAAATCTAGGCCAGTTAAAAATAACCTAATATTCAAAGCAAGCACAGCATTCTTTTGAGCTCCCCGTAATGCCCACTTTTCTTGTTGTTAAGATTTAAAAACAGGATTGAGAGGTATTATATAATAATTTTGTGGCTTAAATCTTGTGAGTATAGACAGTAATTGTGCTTGTAAAGAATGAAAAATAAATTAATATATATTTCTTAAAATTATTCTTGCACATATAACATGGGTATTTTTTATGAAAGGTCACTGTAACGAAAAAATATTTCTTAATCAAGCCATTGCTGTATTATTTATATCGAAATATCCTGCATTGCTTTCATAATTTATGAACTTGCAGTTTATGCATTTGCTTTCATAATTTAGAGTTTGGACAATATTAAATGCATCTTTTCTATAATAGAAATATGCTAAAATCATTATTGCAAATATTTATGTCATTTTGATGCTAGCAATAAATATTTGTACTTATTCATTGTGATTCTGCTGTTAAATGATAGTGAAACCATGATAATGCACAAATTTCAGAAGCATGATAGATTTACCAGATGAATAATGGCAAAAATATCCAAATATTTAATCTGTTGTTTTTTGCTAAAATATTTGCAGTATGCAACAAAAATGGTGAAACATACCTGAAATAATATTGCAAAACTAAGTTGTCCAATAGTTTTCAACTGGATAAAATTGCTGAGTGTTGAAATATATCTTAGATTCAGTTCAGCATGTTTAGGATTTTCATGGTTTTCCGAATTTGCACCACGAATATTTATCAATTTCCCTTAGAATATGATCTGTGGAATATATTACTACAGTAAATTATATTCGTTCTGAATATCCTGGGACAGCACTGAATTTTCAGTCCCTGTCTTGATTTTTTACAACTCGTTTTTTGGTCCTGAATTTACAACATTTGTTTCAAATTGTCCTGAAAAACTGTAGAATGAGAACATAAAAATGTAAATGCATATATTTATTTAAGTTGTGAATATTGCAAACTGAGAATATAAGCATAATTTAAGAGATGCGTGTCATACTGATCGCACAAACAGGAAATTCTGCATGTAGCGTTTGCCTTAGAAAAATTGTAGTGGAGGAATTCTATTTCTCATTCCTGTATTTCTCTCCCACACCCCCTCAGTATACACGGAATTTTTGTTTACAGTTCACAGTTGCAGTTCAGATTTTTACTTACTGAAAACACTGCAGTTTTTAACTGATATATTAATTCGACTGTAATTGGAATTTATTATATGTACATGTTTCTTAATTATCACTGGTACAGTACTTATGTGTTCAACGGTGCATTACATATGTTAATATGTATCATCCCCTTACAAATTATCACAAGGCATAAAAAAATTATTCTTTTGCCATTTGTTGACATTTCATTGTAGATATATCCATCTAAAGTCATCTTTCTTTTGTCACTTTTAGATCATAACATTTTTACTCCATCCGAAATTTTGATTTTACATAAGGGTTTAAAAAAATTTTTTTTAATCTGCCAAAACAGTAACGTGTTATTACATTTCCCATTTGGCAATGATATGTACAGTGCTAAAAAAAAAAATGGGACAGTGCTATATCTCCCGTTCTACTGGGGCGATTCACGAAATTCAAATTGCGTTCTTCATGTCTCGAAAGCGCGATTTAGGATATATATTAGATTTATATATAGCACTATTCTAACATAGGTATTTTGACACAAAATCGGACTTTTTCTGAAATAACATACCAATTTTTTTACATATTTCGATTCTACGACTCAAATTATGCCAGAATACCAAGTTTTGTAAAAATTGTACGAGTAGTTTTTGAAATATTAGCTCTCAAAATTTTAACTCCTCAATGTTAATTGAATTTGGCAAATATTTATTTATATCTCTTTTTTTATTAAACTTTTTTGATTTTTTCTCTCACATTTCGAAATTTAGGTTCATTCCAAATAAAATTTACCCATTTTTTGTGTTTTATTTTTTAAATTTCTATTTTTAAATAATTTTTAATAAATTTTTCGAAAACAATTTTGAATTATAACCTATAAAATTTTTACCATCACTTAGAGTAGGTATATTTTTAAGCATATCTGCAAAAAATTAGACTTTTTATTCAAATTTTCTAAGATATACACAAATTTACATATTTTTCGTGTTTTGAAATTTGGCATCTTTTTTTTTTTGAGCGATAATAATGCCAAATGTGGTCTATGGATTTTTGTTTACACTGTATTGCCACAGCTATTTTTAACCTTAAATTTCAAGTAAAAATTTTACGGAGAATTAATTATATGACATTTTTTCCCTCAATGATGCGAATAAATATTTATTAATACTATATAAAAAGCTATTTTTTAAATAAATTTTTTAATATTTTTTTAAATTTCTCTCTTTTTTTTTTTTTTTATAAATAAGAGTAAATTTTTACCTTCAGCGTTTTATCGTCTGCTACTTTACTTCGTTTAAATCGAATTGTCTAAAACTGAGAATTTTTCATTGATGTTTATTTGAATTTATGACATAACTGCACAATTTATTTCTAACAAACTGATGCTTGTGAAGTGGCTGAAAGAGCGGCTGGTACTATCATCCATATTTTTAAAGCACAGTATATTTTTACAGAAACATAAGATTTAGAATAATCATTTTCTAACGTCAAATTATGATATAATATACAACCCCTAGAGACTGAATTAATGGAAGTTCAATGGTTATGTAGAAATGATCTGAGCTATTTAATCGCTGGATAAGTCAGCAGATTTCGTGGACAAGTAAGAATAATTATATAAACGACACCCAACATTCTGAATTCAATTAACAACGAGGATACGATGTTTTTAAATGAATTCAAGAAGTTTTAAAACATAAAAAATCAACTCATTTTTTATCCTAAAATGTATTTTTTTTGCGGCGTAGCGTTTTTCATTATTCTAATTTAAAATTCTAATTTAGAATGTAATTGTCAAGACCTGATTCCTAATCATCAGTAATAATAAGTAAAATTAATATGGTTATTAATAAATCCTTCTTGTAAAGCAATTGCAATATTTTCAAAAACTTCTGTCTGAATGCAAATATTTTTCTGTGCAATATTTTTAATTTTATATTAATCAAGATTGCACACGTATTATTTTTGCACTTCAATTCTTAACGTCAGTTCTAGTAAAGTTACAAATCAATTATATTTAATAAGGATTGGATTGTATTATTTAATATGCAAAGCACATGAGGCTATCTGCCTAAAGGGAGGGATGCCTTTGTGGAGGACTTTTTAAGGGAAACTGGCTCGTATACACGGTTACACATCGGGAAAACCACGAAAACACCCATGCAACCAGCCCGTTCGCGGAGATTCGAACCTCGGACCCGAACTACCAGGATCAGCGTCTTTACCGCTCGGCCGTTTGTGGGCCTTTATGAAATGGAAGGCGATAACTTTATTTAAAATGATTGTCAGGAATACCAAAATGTTTCGAAAAGTTGATACTTTTTAATATACTTTCAGAATGCTAAAGAAAAGAGAAGAAACATAAAATTTTTCGTAAAATTTAGTATTTGTATTTTTTTTAATTTAAAACTTTTCAATGTTATGATGTTTGATTCTTGCGATTTCAAAAATAAAGTATTTGACTAAAATATGAATAACATTTTATGTAACACCAAATGTAGGATAAAATTGTGTAAAGCAATGGGCACAATGATAAAACTGTTTAAAGCAGTGTATGCAAGTCATCCTAAATTAAAATGTCGGTTATACATCTCTCTTATTTATATATATCTTTTCTGAACGGAACATTGAAAGGCGTGTAAAATTACTGTATTTTCTCTTTTAATATAGTATGCAGTTTTCAAACTCATCGTAGTCTGGGTTACAAAGTATTCTTCCGAAAGAAACGCAGTTCAAATAAATAAAATCAAATTCTGGAAATTGATATTAATAAATATATTTTAAATGCTCAGTCGAAGGAATAAATAGAAAATTTTAAAACAATTATCTGAAGAGACAATGCAACACAAACAATTAAAATAAAAGTATAAAAATTTAAAAATTACCTAAAATAATAACTACGACGAAAAATAAATATAAAGAAAAACTATTGAAAAAAAAACGCTGCCCCTTTTTATGCAATTCGAATAGGTAAATAGAAATTTTAAAAACAGTTATTCGAAAAAAAAAATTGTTGCAACTTAAACAATTAAAATGAAATTCGAAAAAGAAAAAATTACTTAAAATAATAAGTTATGATTAAAATATAATATAAAGAATATTATTTGGAAAAAAGGAATGATGGTGACTTTTTTCCCTCTCACGGGAAAGGAAACTAGGTTGCCATATATTAAGAAGTTCGCCAAGTGAATATTCTTGGCGCAAACTGACAAAAAAGTGCCAACATAAATTTGTGAATTTTCTCCATAAATTTCGCTCCAAGTTACAAAATTTCATATTTAGGCATAATTTGAGTCGTAAAATCAAAATAGTAAAAATTGGTATGTTTTTTCAGAAAAAGTCCGATTTGTGTCAAATACCTATGTTAGAATAGTGCTATAAATCTATATATATCCTAAGTCGCGCTTTCGAGACATGAGAACGCAATTGAATTTTGTCAATCGGCCAGTAGATCGGGAGATATAGGACTGTCCCCCCCCCC